AAAATTAATATTGCATCCATCATGTTATAATCATCCACCATAAGTTCAAAACATAAAACTAAGCACAAAATACAAGTCTCTATAGGATTGCTTAAATCATAAAATAAAATAAAAAAACACATACACACACAAAAACAAATTAAAACATTGTGAAGCCACTTCCTAAATCTCTAACTCGATAGGATTTTATAATTTTGAAAACAACCAAACATATTTTCAAATATTTTCAAAATTACCCCTTAAAAAATCAAAAACGTATCGGGACCGTAGCCTTGAAGTATCAGAAACGTATCGAACAGTCAAACTTTCGAAAAAGTCCACGATACTCCTATGTCCATATCGAAGGCGTATTGTACTGATATCAACATAGGCTATTATACTTGAAATCATGTGAAAACAAAATACTAACAACCATTGAACATAGTATGAACACGTAACCAAAATTGTCCCTCATTCATAAACTAAAAACAGAAGGGGAACCAACCAACAACCTCTTCCAAAGCATCTACCCAAGTGTTCATTAATTTCATATGACTTGAAAAGTAATCATGTAAATTGTATGCACCCCTAATCTGTCAGCTATCGGTGACGTCCATTCTCAAGGCCAAGGAACTAGTCAGAGATAGAGAACTTTGGCCAATATGCAAAGCTCCCGGCAGAAAATGCAAACTATGGGTCACGTCCGATTCATGTGTGTCAATTAAAGTTTCACACTTCTTTTTCTACGTCTTTCAAGAGCTAATTTGCAAATATTCTTCTCCTTAATTTCGATAACTTCCACTTTTCCATCATTTCTTTTTGAATGAGTGACCAATCGAAGGACTGACCACACCAAGATATTGTCACTTTTTCACAAGTGATATCCTAGTCAAGTTCGGAGAAAAAAATTCTGATATAAACCTTTTTCCTTTTTGAAATATGTATTATATGTGTAATTGTATATGTGTTTGGTTGCTCAAGTAGTTGCGATTAAGTGATCTTTTATTGTATCAAAATTGGATAAATAAGAGACTTGGTGAACAAAACAAAGGATTTCTATAGTGTTAAATTTGTGTTCACTTGGCACGTTAATGTTACATTGACGACACCATTATAGATGAGTTGGCAACTCACAAGACAATAACACGATCCGTTAACATGAATTGCCATAAAATTTAGTAGTAAACACGATGGTCTATCAACATAACATCATTTGAAATACGAAATTTTGTGCATTGCTTATTAAAACATTTGTCTAAAGGTGTGCATTTATATGCAAGCAATACGTAATGAGGTCTAGTCCAGCGGAAAAGAGTCTTAACTTGTAGACTAGTGGTCTCCGGTTCGAACTCCTATGACACCTTGGCAGTATGAAAAAACCTCATTCCCCTTCTTAATTTTGGCCCAAAAAAAAAATGCAAACAATACAATTATGGTGTGTTACTAATCAAGGAATTGGAATTGGAATTAGGAATTGAATTCAAATTATGAAGGATTCGTATTTACTTCATATCAAGGAATTAAAAAGTAAGTGGGGCTCACACAAAATTAAGAATTAAATTCCTAATTTTGGAGGAATTCAATTCTTGGGTGGGAGGTGGTATTCTAATTTCTGGAAAACTAACCCATTAGGAATTCATCTTTTTTACCCATTATATCCTCACACAATTTTAAAAATTCCAAATTTGCCATCTACTTTAACGCAACAACGAAGACATTTTAGTATTTAGTATCACTCTCCTCAATTCATATGGTCTAGTAAACAACTTCAATAGGAATACAGAATCTAACTCTCCTAAATTCATATGGTTTAGTAAACAACTTTAATAGGAATCCGAAATCTAATTCTCCTCAATCCAACTCCTCCTCAATTCAATTCCTCATAATCTGATTACGAATTAGTAAACATGCCATTATAATTAATTAATTAATTAATTAAAGAACTTCTCAAAAGTAAACTATCCCTTTCCTCCTCTTAGACCGTGATTAGGTTGGTGGGAATTGGATGAACCGACACAAGCTAGTTTGTGAGGCCATTTAAAATCAGTGTGTCCTTGCTTGTGGGGGGAGAGGCTTATAGTTAATTTGGCTTGACTTTGAGCGGATAACCCCACTAACGATAAAATTCCATGACAGTAAAGGAGACGAATACTTCCAACAGAAAACATAAATTGAAGTCTACATGTTTCCCTTTTTTTGGCCAAGTAGGCCAAAGGAATGATTTTTTGGTCCTTCTTCTCTTGAGATGCATAGGCGTGCCACCACCAAGTCATTTGATGACTTGGATGGAAAGACTGTGCGAGTGTGTTTGCGCTTCTGACTTCTAATCAAATGATTGACATCTTATGTGGCCCCCACAACTATTTAAGCCACTTTGATAACTTTTATTTGTCTCCAGTTGTTGCTGAGAAGTTCTCTTTTTCAAACACACACATACATAAATATGTTAATTTATATATATTTATATATGATAAAGTAATACATTCACAAGACACCCAACAACGCAAGGAAAAAGAGCAAACTACTCAAGACACCCAGCGCAGCTATGCACGACACCTCATTTGAAGACTAAAGAGCCAGCTCACTCCATGCTAACGTTGAGAGTATATGGATGAATAGAGCATATTCCATTTCTATATAATTATTCTAGAGACTTCTTGTATAGGACAAATATACACACATTATAAATGTACACAACATGTAAAGAGAAAAAGATTGAGACAATGAATAATGAATAAAATTCATATTCAAAATTCTAGCTGAGCAATCTTCTTCCTTTTTCAGAAAACTTAAGTCCTTCTTTCTTGTCTCCATAAATGAATATATCTCTTCTAGTGTAATTTCTTACATGGTATTAGTGCCCTAATACAAAACGGTTATTCTCCTGCTCTTCTGGTTCTCTCATTTCCTTTTTCTCCCCTCATTCCAGCATCCTTTTTCAAAAGTTTTTACTTTTCTCTCATCTATGGACGCCCCCAAGACACTATCAATCCATTTTCTGACCATCTTGGGTCCTCCTCATCCTACTCTTACATTGCTTCTCCTCCTTCCCACCCACCCGTTGCTGCCCAAAACATTTCTTCCCTTGTTCTCGTAAAATTATCCCTAGAAAACTACCTCTTATGGAAGGAACTCTTCCTCCCAGTTCTACAAAGCTATCAATGAGCCTTTCAAACATTAGTTTATTTTAATAATTTTTTTTATAAATAATACAATACACAATTAAATTGTACTATTAATTATTATTGAACCCTGATAATATATTAAGTATAATCAAATATAAGTACTAATGGTCTCATCCATGCATAATAATCAATCCCTAAATCTAAAATATTTATTCAACATCAAAACAACAGGACAATTCAGTTCATATATTAAGGTATATATGTATATATAGGTCCATGTTAATATATTATTTTAGAAAAGAAAAAAAATAAAAGGTTAGTAGTGTGTTTCAGTGGAGGCGTTTGGTATGTTGTTTGTTAAAAACAAAAAATCATGATTTTTTTTAAATAAAAAAAAAAAAGGCATGCTGAACTTGCGTTTCTTTATGTATTCCCAGTGCTGAACGTGCGTTTCATTAACTATATGAAACGAAGTTGTTTCATTCCCAACGAACCCTGAAAAAAACACGTGAGGTCATCTTCTTCCTCTCGCAGCCGCTTGCAGAACAATGGCGCTTCGTCCGCCTAACAACACCTCGTCACGCTAAACGTGCAACTTGCTAAATAGAATAACGCCTCAAGCGATTTCCTTCCACCTCGCTCCGACGCGCGCTTAGGCATGCCGTGAGAATGGGATGGATACATTTCACTCGAAGGGGAGAGTGGCTGCAAACAGAGTTTCTAATATTTCATAATCTACTTTTTCTATTAAACAAAAACAGTAGAATCAATGAAAACAGCTTTCATTCTGAGTTTTCGGATAATCAAAACGGTTTCATTTTCACCAAGCCAACTTTCTTACAAGAGATCTTCTAATGAAACTAATTTCCTTAGTCCATTTCAGATGGTTGAATTCAAATTATGAAGGATTCGTATTTACTTCATATCAAGGAATTAAAAAGTAAGTGAGCCCACACAAAATTAAGAATTAAATTCCTGATTTTGGAGGAATTCAATTCTTGGGTGGGAGGTGGTATTCTAATTTCCGGAAAACTAACCCATTAGGAATTCATCTTTTTTACCCATTATATCCTCACACAATTTTAAAAATTCCAAATTTGCCATCTACTTTAACGCAACAACGAAGACATTTTAGTAATTAGTATCACTCTCCTCAATCCATATGGTTTAGTAAACAACTTCAATATGAATACATAATCTAACTCTCCTCAATTCATATGGTTTAGTAAACAACTTTAATAGGAATCCGAAATCTAATTCTCCTCAATTCAACTCCTCCTCAATTCAATTCCTCATAATCTGATTACGAATTAGTAAACATGCCATTATAATTAATTAATTAATTAATTAAAGAACCTTCTTGGGTGGGAGGTGGTATTCTAATTTCTGGAAAACTAACCCATTAGGAATTCATCTTTTTTACCCATTATATCCTCACAAAATTTTAAAAATTCCAAATTTGCCATCTACTTTAACGCAACAACGAAGACATTTTAGTAATTAGTATCACTCTCCTCAATCCATATGGTCTAGTAAACAACTTCAATAGGAATACAGAATCTAACTCTCCTCAATTCATATGGTTTAGTAAACAACTTTAATAGGAATCCGAAATCTAATTCTCCTCAATCCAACTCCTTCTCAATTCAATTCCTCATAATCTGATTACGAATTAGTAAACATGCCATTATAATTAATTAATTAATTAATTAAAGAACCTAAAGAACTTCTCGAAAGTAAACTATCCCTTTCCTCCTCTTAGACCGTGATTAGGTTGGTGGGAATTGGATGAACCGACACAAGCTAGTTTGTGAGGCCATTTAAAATCAGTGTGTCCTTGCTTGTGAGGGGAGAGGCTTATAGTTAATTTGGCTTGACTTTGAGCAGATAACCCCACTAACGATAAAAATCCCTGTACAGAGAAGAAATTTCTGGCCTGCGTTAAATAAAATTTCTTATTCAAGTCAACAAACCTTTCAAGCACTCATAATTTATGTATCTCTATCTTTGAACAAACTTTCCTTAATGTCACTTGGCTTATCTCCAGTTGCTTCCCCACTGCCCCCCCAACAACCAAACCAAACTTTTAATTCATTTCATTTCTATCAAACAATTTCTCTTCCCCTAAAAAAAAAAAAAATGAAGTCCTGGCTTTTCTTCTCATCCTCTTTTGCCTTCTTTGTTTTCATCAACATTCCTTCAGCCTCAAGCTTTGATGGGTACACAAGTTGTAGCAACAAGTTCAACTGTGGAGAGATCACAAACGTTGGTTTTCCTTTCTGGGGATACGGCAGGCCAGAGAGTTGTGGCTATCCAGGACTGAATCTCACATGTTCCGAGAATGTCACCACTATAGGGATTGTGGGGGTCCAATACAGAGTGTTGAAGATAAACCAAGAAGCTGAAGAAACACTCACACTTGTGAGAGATGACTATTATGACAAAATTTGTTCTCCAAAGTTTGGGGACACCAAACTGAATTCCAATTTCGACTATGTTTCAGGCTCTGTCGATGTTAAATTACTGTATGACTGTACTTCTAGCTCACAAGGTGGCTTCAGTTGCCCCAAGGGTGAAACTTATGGTGATGTGGCCGCCGTACTTGCAGCTTTTCCGGTGCCTCCCATGTGTAAATCAAAGGTGATTCGGATTCAGGACGCAACGGGTCTTGGACTATTTAGTTTTGAGAATGTAACAGAACTTGAACAGGCAGTTAGAGAAGGATTTGAGGTGAAGTATAAGGTGGACAGTGCAAAATGTGATGAGTGTGTTGGTACAAAGGGTGTTTGTGGTTATGATTGGGGTTTGAGTGAGACTGTTTGCCATTGCCCGAATCGAAGTTCTGCATCCCGGAATTGTTCTGCCACAGCAGAGGCCATAGACAATCCAGTTTTGCCATCAGCTAAAGGTACGAGCTATGAACCCAAATAGATATGCTAACAAGAGTGGTTTTTTGCATTTTAACCTGAATTTCTTAGCTTTTGGCAATTGGGTTCCTTATATCAACTCATTTTTGGTAGTGTTCAACATGACTTCATTTTGTCCCATGGACTTGTGTGCAAGAGGACTGCATAAATTTTGAGAATATTTCGCATAGTTTATTGTCAACTGTCTAAAGTTAGCATAGTATACAAGGATTTTTTAACAACAATTTTAATCCTTTGGCAAAGATAGAAATATAATTATATTTAAGAATGATTTTGATGGATTGCCTTTTCTTTGGACTATATGAGACTTTTTCTCATTTACAATAAAGGGTGGATGAAACAGAAGTGTGGAGAGATAATTAAATGTTAATGTTCCATCACAATTTGGGGCCATATATATATATATATATATTAGTGGCCAAAGTAGTGCTGTATTTTCTTTAAGTTAGATGGCTTGTCCCTTTCATATTTTAATCAGGTTGGTAGGAAGTTGGCCTTATTTTGTCACTATTAAGGAACACATTAGGGATTTGGTTAAAGATTTGCCTCATCTTTAACCAAAACCCTAACTTGCTAAAATCCTTCAAGCTAAAGTGACCTTTATTCGTCCCCGGTGCATAGGGTGGTAGAGGGTGGAGGAGGGGTCACTCGGTTTGCCGCCAGCGCCTGGCCTCATGTCCTCCCTCTCCATTTGAGATGAAATGGTTGAGATATTTTTGAATGTTTGTTGCTCTGTGGTTATCCTTGTCCAACAAACAAGTCATGGAATCCTTTGTAACTATTATTTTCTTCCTGCCATGTTCTTTGCATTGTACTTATTATTAAGTCTTTTGCTAAAGGTCTTTGGTGGTACCTGTCCCTAAACTCCATCATCCATTGACTTCGTCTAGCTTCTAGAAGAACATATTTTCCGGCCCTCATGAGAACACCTCCACATCATTTGAGTGGGCTAGGAAATTAATTAGAAATATAAACAAATATGGAAATAGACTAATTAAAAAGTAGTGCACGCCTTTTTGGGATTGGCTGGTGTGCCAAGAAATTCAAACAAGAACGAGAAAAGAAACAGAGAAAACGAGATAGGCTTCTGTTTCCCTTTCCACACTTAATTGAAATTTCAAAGGCCTATAGCTTAAGACTTGGCACAACAACTATATTAAAATGAAACAGGACGCTTATTCCTTTTTCATTTCAATCCTTGTGTTGTCCCTCACTCTGAGCTTTTTCCTCCAAAAACATGCATACCCTTCTGCTTCAATCGTTGTTTCCCTTGCTCTTGATCACTTCCTTTCTTTCGATCAACGTTGAGTTAAGTCTATGCCAGGACAATGAACAATATACAAACTGCAGGGAAGCAATTAACTGCGGTGGCATCGGAAACATCTCATACCCCTTTTGGGGAGTAAACCGGGCTAATTACTGTGGTCTGCCGGGGTTCGAGGTCAAATGTGTAGACAATGCCCCCATGATCAACATGTTGAATATCAACTACAGAATTCTTAAAACCGACCCTAGTGCTCCCTCTGTTACAGTTGCCAGGCAGGACTATTGGGGAACTATCTGTCCTCCGACTTATGTCAACACCAACATCAACTTCTCTCTGTTTAATTATACTTTTGGGCTTACAAACCTGACCTTTTACTATGGGTGTGCAAGTATAAATTTCTTCCCAGGGCTTACCCCTAGTTCCCAACGTTGCGATACAAACAATGACAATGTGACGTATGTCACGCGAAGTCCCCCATTTGATCCAGTTGCTGACGGCATCTGTAAAAATGGGGTCAATGTTACGGTTTCCACAACAGCTGTTGCGGCTCTAGTGGCCGGTCAAATGACTATCGAAGAAGCAGTAGATGGGGGCTTTGAATTGAGATTGGAGATTGATAATGGTCCATGCAACAGTTGTGAGAACTCAGGAGGGAAGTGTGGGCTTAACACTACTGGTGGATTCAGTTGCTTTTGCCGGGATCGGGCCAATGCAACCACATGTAATGCAAAAGGTATGTCCGTCCCTTGTCATTCTCTTATAAATTACAGACTAGAAAGTTGGCCTTATTTTGTCACTTTAAGGAACACATTAGGGATTTGGTTAAAGATTTGCCTCATCTTTAACCAAAACCCTAACTTGCTAATATCCTTCAAGCTAAAGAAAGATAAGAAAGACTCAAGTCAAAACAAAAAGCTTTTATAGTTATTCAAATCGTCATTCTCCAGCTTTTATAAAAGTAAAATATTATTTTATGAAATAATAAATAAAAAGAAAAATTAATCCTAAAGAATGAGGCAGGGCACAACAAACCAAAAACACCCAAACTATCAATCTTTACAGATTGGTTTCTTCTTTTTTGTCTGTTCCACAGCAGAGCAACACATATAAAAAATGGATATATAGGCTTGTGCCCATAGCAAAGCAACACAAATAATACAAATAGAGACAACAAAAAATGGTATTATAGCATATATGAGATCAGATTGGTTTCTTCTTTTTTGTCTGTTCCACAGCAGAGCAACACATATAAAAAACGGATATATGGGCTTGTGCCCATAGCAAAGCAACACAAATAATACAAATAGAGACAACAAAAAATGGTATTATAGCATATATGAGAACAGGCGTGTGAAGAGAAAAGCATAAAAAAGATGAGAACTTTGTTTATCTTCTCGAGTCTGTACATCTTCTCCCAAAACAAACCAACAACGTGAGAATCAGATGTTAATAGGGTCAGATTTTTTATGGGGTTTGGTATTTAAACTCCTTTAACCATAAGGATTAGGTATCTCAATCCATTTAGAGTTAGGAAACCTTAAGCACTTGTATTTATCTGAAACAATCATATATCAAGCCTTAAAATTAATCAATCCATGTAATCCTAATTGACATTGAACTAGTTATCCTTAAATGATTAGAAGACCATCTTAGAGTTTGTATTAGAATGCAAATCTTACACTTTATTCGTCCCCGGTGCATTGGTAGAGGGTGGAGGAGGGGTCACTCGGTTTGCCACCAGCACCTGGCCTCACGTCCTCCCTCTCCATTTGAGATGAAATGGTTGAGATATTTTTGAATGTTTGTTGCTCTGTGGTTATCCTTGACCAGCCAACAAGTCATGGAATCCTTTCTAACTATTATTTTCTTCCTGCCATGTTCTTTGCATTGTACTTATTATAAGTCTTTTGCTAAAGGTTTTTGGTGGTACCTATCCCTAAACTCCATCATCCATTGACTTTGTCTAGCTTCTGGAAGAACATATTTTCCAGCCCTCATGAGAACACCTCCGCATCATTTGAGTGGGTTAGGAAATTAATTAGAAATATAAACAAACATGGAAGTAGACTAATTAAAAGTAGTGCACGCCTTTTTGGGATTGGCTGGTGTGCCAAGAAATTCAAACAAGAATGAGAAAAGAAACAGAGAAAACGAGATAGGCTTCTGTTTCCTTTACCACACTTCATTGAAAATTTCAAAGGCCTATAGCTTAAGACTTGGCACAACAACTATATTAAATTAAAACAGGACGCTTATTCCTTTTTCATTTCAATCCTTGTGCTTCCCCATTTCATTGATGCTTGAGTTTCCTTGTCCCTCACTCTGAGCTTTTTCCTCCAAAAACATGCATACCCTTCTGCTTCAATCGTTGTTTCCCTTGCTCTTGATCACTTCCTTTCTTTCGATCAACGTAGAGTTAAGTCTAAGCCAGTATGAACAACATACAAACTGCAGCGAAGATATTAACTGCGGTGGCATCAGACTCTCATACCCGTTTTGGGGAGTAAACCGAGCTAATTACTGTGGTCCGCCAGGGTTCGAGGTTGAATGCCTAGAGAATGTCCCCATGATCAACATATCGAGTAACTACAGAATTCTTAAAACCGACTCTAGTGCTCCCTCTGTTACAGTTGCCAGGCAGGACTATTGGGGAACTATCTGTCCTCCGACTTATGTCAACACCAATATCAACTTCTCTCTGTTTAATTATACTTCTGGGCTTACAAACCTGACCTTTTACTACGAGTGCAATACAAATATAACTATCCCGGGGCTGGGGGTTAACTATAGTTCCCAAGTTTGCAGTACGAACAACGGTGACGTTGCTGTTTGGTCTAACTGCAGCGAAGATATTAACTGCGGTGGCATCAGACTCTCATACCCGTTTTGGGGAGTAAACCGAGCTAATTACTGTGGTCCGCCAGGGTTCGAGGTTGAATGCCTAGAGAATGTCCCCATGATCAACATATCGAGTATCAACTACAGAATTCTTAATACCTCTAGTGCTCCCTCTGTTACAGTTGCCAGGCAGGACTATTGGGAAACTATCTGTCCTCCGACTTATGTCAACACCAATATCGACTTCTCTCTGTTTAAGTATACTTCTGGGCTTACAAACCTGACCTTTTACTATGGGTGTCCAAGTATAAATATCACGGGGCTTAACTCTAGTTTTTCCCAACGTTGCGATACAAACAACATCAATGTTACGTATGTCACACAAAGTCCCCTATCTGATCCAGTTGCTAACGGCATCTGTAAACATGGGGTCAATGTTCCGGTTTTTAGTACAGCTGCTGTGCCTCTAGAGGCCAATCCAACAACTCTCCAGGACGCGGTAGATGAGGGCTTTGAATTGGGATTGGAGATTGATAATGTTCAATGCAACAATTGTGTGGACTCAGGAGGGACGTGTGGGCTTAACACGACAACTGGTGGATTCAGTTGCTTTTGCCTGGATCAGGCCTATGCAATCGTATGTAATGCAACTGCACCCGGAGCACAAGGTATGCCTGTCCCTTGTCATTCTCTTATAAATTACAGACTAGGAAGATGTTAGAAGTTTTTGTGTCATTGAATCCCAGGATTGGGTAGCATCCACACCTTTTTATTACAATTTAGATAGCTACCTACGTGCGTGATTAGGCTCGTCTGTTAAAAACCCGGGTCGGAAATTGGGAATTGTGTGCTATATAGTCCATGTCCAAGTAAGATTAATCCATGGTAGTTAGAAGCAGAACACAGAAACTGCCGAGCTTCACAGATACAAGAATAGGTCTCTGACTATGTGAGAGATCATGTTGCTATGAGCTTCAGCAATTAAACATGTTGCATAGAAAATTTCTGTCAACCAATTGAACCTTGAGCCCTTAAGATTGTTCCTGTTTTGGTCATTTTGATCCTTTGGCACAAGCATCAAGTTGGAAGTCCTGATGGTGCCAGAGTCAACCCTTTTTGTTGCCCTCCCTGGACTGCAAAACTGTGCCGTATTACATGCTCCAAGCAGCCTAAGAAATATAGCCACCAGACATCTTATGTACAATCCCATTGAAGTCGGTGTCAGTCGCCCTTTGTTGACTTTGATCATCCAACATGGAAATAAGACAGTTTTATTAATCCAAGTGCAGAGAGGTTTAGGGGCACAAATTCAAAACTTGGCTAATTTTCTATCAAGGTGTGCTGGTTGGTTATACAACCAATACAAATTTCGTGCTAAGACCGCCTGCAAAGTTGACCATAACTATGTTAGAGCGAGAGAGAGAGAGAGAGAGAGAGAGAGAGACTTGGTCACCAAATAAATTTTCCATTGACTACAAGCACTCTTAACGTTCCAATAGAACCTTCTATTTTTAATATGTAAAAAGTATAATATAAAAATAAGATTAATCCAACGTTAACTTCGTCACATCCCCATTTATTTGTCTTCACAGTCGTACTTTAGAGATGAAGGCATTCACACTCATCTTCTCTTCTTTCTCACAACTTTGAATAGTATTCTCTCTCTCTCTCTCTCTCTCTCTCTCTCTCTCTCTCTCTCTCTCTTTCTCTGAAAATGAATCTCTATCCCTTCCAAAAGATCTCTTTTCTCCTTGTGATCACAAGTACTATATGCCTATTGTATATTCCAAGATCTTTGGGTGAGGAGGATGATGAGCAATACCTCAACTGCAGAGCTTTGTTTCAATGCGCAAATATTCCGAATATTGGTTACCCTTTTTGGGGATCAAGCCGGCCAGATTATTGTGGCTACCCGGAATTCAAGTTGAACTGCACCGGGAACGCCCCGGTGATCTCATTCCAGGAAGAAGATTATCGAGTCCTGGATATCAACCAAAGTGCAAGTACTCTCAGAATCGCTAGGACAGACTACTGGAACAACGTTTGTCCCGTGTCACCTGGCAACACCACAATAGAAGAAAACCATGTAGAATATGCTTCGGATGTTCAAGAACTACTGCTGTTCTATGACTGCCCCCCACTCAGTATTCCTCTTCCAGTTCAGCTAACAAGTCAGTTCAACTGCAGCATAAACAGCACTGCTAATTACATCAATTACTTTGTCACACAAAACCTCACGAATTCCGCGCTCAAGAATATTAGCGGTTCCTTTGGAACATGCCACACGACTATCACTACCCGCGTTTCGCAATCAGCAGGTGTGAATTTGGCTATGAATTCGAACAAGGACAATCTAGTTGCCGTTCTTGATTCCGGGTTTGGGTTGACATGGGATGCAAGTAATAACTTGTGTAAGCAATGTGACGAAACTGGTGGTCAGTGCGGGTACAATACATCTACAGCTGAGTTCACCTGCTATTGCAAGGATGGACCTAATCCCTCGAACTGTGCAGGTATGCACGCGCTTGTAATCTTTTTGGTCTTAATTCCTTGTCTTTGGGGCTTTTCATCAAACACCTACATGTCATATGTGGGTCGTTTAGAATCTTCATGCTACTTTCAATCCCTTCACCATGGCAAACCCTCCTTCTTAAGTTCTTAGCAACCAATGCCAAAGGGCTTTGGCTCAGGTTAGAGAGTTATATAGAAATCTAGCGTTTAGGCTAACTACTTCTTGATTCCTCTATGTTTTTTTTAGTATATAGTCTGGTCTAGAAACAAGTGAGGGGCCAAAGAAAGATTGGGTTTTTGAGTTGGGTCTCAGAAGAAGATGAAGTTAGAACTTTCACCTATACCAAACATTTTCTTACTCCTTTCACATAGCCATGGAAAACCCGTGCGGCATTCCATTGGAAACTTCAAGTTGGGTTCTTCTGGTTTTTTAATATCATCTCCCCAATTAGCTAGGCTGGCCATTTCCATGCCAAAACAAAACCGAATGATTCATACCACGTGTTATGCTTCATATGTTCTGACTTCTGAGCTATCTAGGCTGCTATGACATTTACTATAATGACCTTATCTGAATTTAGAAACTTGTATGAATTTGTTTAGCTTTTGGGCTAGTCACAACGCACAGAAAATTCCCTAGGTACAAGTCAAAGAAATTAATTTCCGTGTTTGATTTTTGTTGAATGAAATCACACAAGCATGCATGTTCATACATTAAACTATTAAAAGGTAGTAGGTCCATTTAATGAATTCTTGATAAAGATTGTTCTTTCATAATATACCTTTATAATAGCTACAGTTCGTCAATAAAACAAAGCTTTCATTTCATGTGCGCGGTGGTTGTGCTTTTTTATATTAAATATATAGTATTTTAGGGACTGAAAATGTCTTATTCCACTTGCATATGCTATCTCATGAATACTTTGTGCATAATTCATATATTGAAATTAGGAATTTTCAACGAAGATTCCGTTAGTGTAGTGGTTTAGAGTAATTGTTACTCAAAAAAGCGTTCTGAGTTCGAGTTTTAGCAATCATGTAATGTGTGTGAGTTTAGCATATTATTGTTTCTCCGAATAAAAAAAGTCATAAAAACAATATTAAAGAATCTTCAAACAAAAGTAAGATATAATAATTTCTGCCTCAGAAAAAGGCGATAATTTGATATATTTACCTGAGAAAAAGTATATTTACCCGGGAAAAAGGTATGGGGGTAGTAGAAGTTTTCTGCCTAAGAAAAACATGCCCAAAAATTGTATGAGATTTTCTTCTTTTCACATTCAAAGCCCTCCTCCAATTCCTCAACTACCCTTTTGAAAAATTGCTAGTTTGGAGTTCACATTGTTTGACTCTACTTTTGAAGTTGACCAGGAGTCTACTCAATCTGATAAATAAATAATAAATAATCATTTTAAATCCTTGAATTACGAAAATACCCATAAATTATTGAACAGAAAAAACTCATCAAAGTAAAAAAGATAACATATTTATTTGGTCAGCAGCCTCCAAAATATTCAAAAGCTGTGTGCACTGTCCAACCACAACAGTCCAAGTCAACTTACGCCGGCCATGTGATCAAACCAAAACCTCATTGCATTTCATCACTCAACTCTCTAAGCCACTTCCCGCCTCGCCCACCCCACACCCAAACGCCATCGTTTTCCCGCCCCTTCCCCAATGCACCCACTCTTCCTCCTCCTCCTCCTCCTCTTCTTCTTCTACTCCTTCGAGGTTACGACGTCGTTTCCCTCGAATACAAACCTCTCCAACTGCTCCCGAGCCTTCGACTGCGGCCCGCTCCGAAACCTCTCGTACCCGTTCACCGGCGGG